ATAATTTTACTAGGTTAATTATGCTAACTAGGCAGGTTAGGTTAATTGGGCAAGTCATTGAACAACACAACAATAAATGAATAAATAAATAATAAATAAATAAATAAATATAAATAAATAAAATGAATGAATGTATATATGAATGAATGAAAGAATAAATAAATAAATAAACACATAAATGAATGAATGCATGAATAAATGATTAAATAAATTAATAATTTATTAAATAAATAAATAAATAAATAAATAAATAAATAAATGAACAAACAAACAAGCAAACAAACAAACAAATAAACAAACAAACAAATTAATTAATTAATTATATGAATGAATAAAATGAATGAATGTATTTATGAATGAATGAATAAATAAATAAATGAATAAATAAATACATAATTGAATGAATTAATAAATGAATGAATGAATAATTATATGAATAAATAAAATGAATGAATGTATATATGAATGAATGATTGAATGAATGAATGAATGAATGAATGAATGAATAAATAAATGTATAATTTATTCAATAAATAAATAAATAAATGAATGAATGAATGGTAGATTAAATAAATTAACGAACAAACAAACAAATAAATAAATAAATAAATAAATAAATAAATAAATAAGAGAATACCTTAAGGGGCTAATAATATTATATATAATATAATATTGACTTAAATGTATTATAATTCTTTTAAAATGAACTGCTCTAGGAAATAATGTGGAAAACATTTCCTTTCTCTGTTTCTTTGTAAAATAGGACTGAATTTGCTATAATAATATAATAATTTTCTTATATATAATATTTGTTATGCAAAAAATTGTGAATAATTTTGCTATATTTCAGGGTTTTCTGTAAAACAAACTGAGATTGAATTGATTATACGAAGAATAAGACTCCAGATCTGCATGACTGTGTGCTCAATAAACTCTAAGCCACAGTTCACTCTGCCTCAGAGAGTAATCTGAGGAAAAATACAAACATTAGACAAAATCCAGTTCATTTGGTTTCATTTTGTTTTAAGTTAAATATATCTGTTGTGTTCGTTGAACAAATATGTTGATGACAAAATCGGCACTATTTTTAGATGTTTAAGTGTTGCCTTTCATGTGGGATTTAGGTGATTGTGATTTGGATCTTTCTTGCATGAGTCAGAGCCAACTGCAGTTTCGAGGACTTGTCATGCATGAATACACACAGCTAATACTACACTGTAAAACATGCTGGGTTCCACACGATTCCTTCATGTTGTGCCAACACAAATTGATTGTTTAATTTAGTGGATTGAACATAAAACAATGCAATTCATTCATTCATTTATTTATTTTTTGGCTTAATCCCTTAATCTGGGGTTGCCACAGCGGAATTTAACTTATTCCAACTTATCTAGCATATGCTATTATGGATGCCCTTCCAGCTGCAACCCATCACTGGGAAACATCCCAGAAAATATATGAATGTAAAAAATGTGTTGCCTGACTTCAAAATAAAGGACTAAAATCAATAAATTGTCCAAACAGATACTAATAGTGTCTTAGATCGTGTTCATATCAGTATAGGTGACCATAGTTCGAGGTGGACACCCATGACATGTGGAGTCCCACAAGGCTCAATTCTCAAATACATGCTCCAGCTGAGCCAATGAGAAAGAACCAAATCTCCCCCACAGCTATGCTGATGACACTCAGATCTACTTAGCCTTACTGCCTAATGACTCCAGCACCATTGAAACCCTCTGCCAATGCATTGATGAATTTAACAGTTGGAAGTGCCAAAACTTTCTTCACTTAAACAACAAGAGAAAACTGCAATTGGGAACAAAGATGAGCGAGGTGAATCCCATTAAACACGTGTGCTCTTATAAATATCTGGATGTTCACATACAGTAGATCGTTTGCTTACCTGGGGTCTGCATGTAGGCAGCATTTGTTCCCGTGTGCAGCAGTGACTGCATTTTTTAGGGAGATTGAGAGTTTTTTGGGGTAAAGCAAAAACTTGTTTTTATTTTACAAAGCTGTGATTGAAAACATAATACACAATGGATTTATTGTGTGCTATGGAAACATTATAGTTCAATCTAAAGCTCTGAGGGCTGGTGAGGACAGGCATGAGAATCATCGGGAAAAGGGAATATCGATCCTTACAATCTCTCTATGGGCAATCAGTTCAGGATGAAGCTGTTGAAATATTAGCTGACGCCTCGCACAGTTTGTTTAGTGAGTATGAGCTACTGCCTTCTGGTGGACGATACAGTGTGTGCAGATATAATCGTTTGAAGAAACTTTTTACCTACATCAATTAGACTGTTTATATTTAATAAATCAATTAAATTGATCATTTAATCAATTAAATACTTCAATTAGACTGTTTAAATATTTAATATTTGCCGATGGCTGAATGTTTGTGTTGAAGTCTGTTTCTGTTCAGTGTATGCAAATGTGGGCCGAGAGTCCAAGACAAACTTCCCCGTTGGCCGCCACGGGCCCTCAGACAAGCGAAGATGATAGTGAATGGTGGGGTGGGGGGTGATTGGGGGCGGGTGTTTGTGGATGAAAGTAAAGAGGGGGAGGTGGGGTGGATCGCAGATGAAAGTAAAA